ATTTACACAATGGAGTACTACTCAGCAGTAAGAGACAATGGCATCCTAAAATTCACAGGCAAATGGTCAGAACTAGAAAAAAAAACTTGAGTGTGGCAACCCAAAACCAGAAAGACAAATATAGTATATACTTACTCATGAGTGAATACCAGACATAAAGCAAAAACATACCCAGCCTACAATCCATAACCCCAGAGAAGCTTGAACCCTCTTCCAGAAACAGATGGAAGCAGATGCAGAAATCCACAACTAACAATTGAGCCAAGCTCCTGGAATATAATCAAAGTAAGGGAGGAGTGATAATATGAACAAAGGAGTCAAGACCATGATGGGGAAACCCACAGAATCAGCTGACCCCAGCTAGTGAGAGATCATTGACTCAGGTCTGACAAATGAGGAACCTGCATAAGACCAAACTAGACTCCCCCTTAATCTAGGTGACAATGGTGTGACTGGGACAGTATATGAGGCCACTGGCAGTGGGTCCAAGATCTAACACTAAGGCACAAACTGACTTAGTGGAGCCCATTCTATATGGAGAGATACCTTGCTCAGCCTAGACACAGGGGTGTGGGGGTGGAGAGGTGCCTTGGCCCTGACTCAACGAGATGATGGGACAGACTTAGTAGACTTCCTAGGGGAGGCCTCAGAGCAGATGGGGCAGTGGGAAGAGAGGAGGGAGGGGGAACTGGAATTGGAATGTAAAAGGTAAATTAATAAAGAAGAAAAGGAAAGAAGATAACGCCAATGACCAGTCTCCATGGGCCATAGTTCATCTTGTCAGGCTTCCAGAAGGAAGAGCACAAACAGTGAAGAGCTGCCCAGGAGGAATTCTGCAAGGAATCAGCCTAATGGAAAACAGAGCAGGACAAGATTATTGTGAAGACCAGGAAAACAAATCTTAGTGGCAACGAAAAAGGCATGTCATTGTGTAAGGAGAAGCTGAAGTGCTAGAAAGTCTATGGTTTCTGTTCAAAACTGTTAAGTTAGGAAATGAGTACCACAACAGACACTCTGTAGGATGCTGAGCACACACTAAGTCCCTCAGCCCCATGCCGTTTCCATCGTGTGTTGCTGAGACTGCCATGTGTCATAGGATGCTAGCAGCTTCCTGACCTCTGATCCCAGCCAGCAAGAACACTGCTGTCATGATAAAAATGTCTCTAGAGTTTGCCAGATGTCGCCTAGAGGGAACAAGATTGCTGTCTGTTGAGAAGCCCTGGTTCCAGAAGCTGGAGAGGAAAGAGAAGTACGGAGGCAGAGGACTGCTTTTCTCCCAGCCAGCGCCTCGGAACACCACTCGGCTCTCCAAATAGTGCACGTGACTTTCTTTGCTAGAATAACTTTTTTAAAGGGTGATATCATGGCAGATGAAGCAGGGACACTTTCTAACTCTTCATTTGGAAACTTCAGAGCATTAAAATGCAGTAGATGCATTTTCCAGGTGTCCCAGAAATTTTGCTGAGATCTCAAAGCTGAGGACATATCATCTACATATTGCAGAGATGCCAAAACCAATGCACAGCTATGAGTGACAACCCCTAAACTGTCTTCCATGTGTCACTCCAATAGAATGCAAGGGAAGAGGAGATGGATATACAATTTGGAGTAAGAAAATTCTAGAAAGAAGTGATTCCTTATGCATTTCCTTTCCACTTAGAACAAGTAACCTCTTAATCCCCTCCTCCCTCCCTGCCCCGGTGCCCCCAATTTGCTCAGGAGATCCTGTCCCTTTCCCCTTCTCTGGAGGACCATGTATGTTTCTCTTAGGGCCCTCCTTGTCTTCCAGCTTCTCTGGAGGTGTGGATTGTAGACTGGTAATTCTTTGCTCTATGTCTAATATTCATGTGAGTAAGTACATACAGTGTTTGTCTTTCTGTGTCTGGGATCACTCAGGATGAAAAACCAGGCTCAAAAAAAAAAAAAAGAAGGAAGGAAGGAAGGGTGGGAGAGAGAAAGAAAGATAGAGACTTCAAGTAAATCCTCAAGGGATGTTTCTAGCAGCCTTATTCATAATGGCCAATCCTTGGAAGCAAGATGTCTTTGGTAAGGTAATAGGTTAAAAAAAAAAAAACACTATGCCAGGCATTGGTGGTCCATGCCTTTAATCCTCAGGAGGCAGAGGCAGGCGAATCTCTGTGAGTTTGAAGCCAGCCTGGTCTACAGAGAGAGTTCCAGAACAGGCTTCAAAGCAATACAGAGAAACCCTGTCTCGGAAAAAAAAAAAAACAATAAAACAAAACAAACAAAAAACTATGGTTTACATCCAGAAGATGAACCACTACTCATCATTAAAAGAACTGAGCTGGACCTGACAAGGGTTAACTCTTGAATCCCAGGCTGATGCCTGGGAATCCAGCATGGGGCTGATCAAGACCCCCTGAATGTGGGTGTCAGTGAGGAGGCCTAGGCAATCTATGGGGCCTTTGGTAGTTGACCAGTATTTATTCCTGGCATAGAAATGGACATTGGGTGCCCATCCCACAATGAGAGATGCACTCTCACCCTGGACTCTTGGGGGAGGTTCTAGGCCCTGTCATGGATGAAATGACAGACTATGGACACCCCCATGGAAGAACTCACCCTCCCTGGGGAAAGGAGGGGGTATTGGGTGGGTGGGGGGAGGGGTGGGAGGAGGGGAGGGAAAGGGAGAAGGATGTGTGATTGACATGTGAAGAAACCTTGTTTCTAATTTGAATTTAAATTTAAAAATAAAATTTTTAAATTAAAAAAATTCAATGTTGTTTTAGTTGCTGACTTGAGTTTCATTTCAAAATATTTGGCTTGGTCTTAGGATGGAATTTTCAACAATTGCTGGTAACAGTTCTGTTTTATACTGGGTATTTATGGAAAGTGCTATCTTCTGTCTTGAGGCTTACAACTAGGAATGCCGGTACACTTGGAAAGACACTGATAATGCTCTATAAGGACCTCCTGTAGCATCAAAGGTTCAGTCAAGTCTTAGACCTTGATGTGGAAAGAAGTCCATCATCTCACTGCTATTTAAAATTTCCTTTTTCCTTTAATAAATTGTAAAAGCATATGTACTCCAAAGAATTGTCTTCAAATGGTGTGCTATTAGCAAATGTCTGAGTTGTATATATGTTTTATATATCTATACAGCTGGGTGCATGTAAAAATTTCTTAGGGAAAAAGGTCTAACAAGTAAAATAAATTTAGTAAGTCCCTGTCTGTGGGAAGGGATAAAAAAAAAAAAAAAACTGAGCTGTGGGTTGGGGATTTAGCTCAGTGGTAGAGCACTTGCCTAGCAAGTGCCAGGCCCTGGGTTCGGTCCTTGGCTCTGGGGGAAAAAAAAGAGAGAAAAGTGAGCTTTCCAAGTGATGGAAAGACACAGGAGAAACACGATAGAATGTTTCTGAGTGAGAGGCGTGGATCTGGAAGGGCTGTGTGGTATGCGATCCCCAGTTATGTGATGTTCTGAAAAGGGCAATCTTGGGAGACAGTAAACAGATCAGTGGTGTGTAGGGGTGATCTCACAATATAGTCTACGCCCAAAGGGGCGTGGACCAGGAATGGACACAGGTGAGGATAAAAGGAAGCAAAAGAAAAAGTATGCTCTTTTAGAAGCTGCCACGTTCTGATCTTCCAGCTTGTGTGTAAGATCTTTCTGTGGTAAATATGCTAATTTCCATATTACGTTGACCTCCCTCACCAGTGGTGAGTAGAGATTTGTGATGAACAAGAAGGCCAAGTATAGAGGACTGGAAGCCAAAGAGAATGATTTGGTGAATGGGTGACATCACACACATTTGCAGAAGACACACAACACCAGAATAAGACCAAACACAAACTTTGGGAGGTGATGCCTCAGCATGGTAATATCTTTCTTGCACAAATAAAACCTATCTGAGGGCCAGAGAAGAAAGCGATTTCCTGTTTCTCCCTGCTTATATCCTGTTTCTGCCTAGCTGCGTCACTTCCTGTCTGTCTGTACCGACCTCTGTGGTTAGCCAGTGGCCAGCTCCATTCTCTGACCCCCAGACAGGCTTTATGTGTGCAAGAAAGATATCACCACACCTCAGTGCAGGCTCGCCATTCATAGCAAATGTTCCGCTGTAAGGTGAGGAGCCTTGATGAGCCAGGAAGAACGGGAGAACTCTGCATACAATCTAGTCAATCCATTGTAAACCTATGCCCTGGCCAGCAGGACACAAGGAAGGTCTGGCCCACGGGAACCTGGAATGAAGGGACAAGAGGCACAAGAACCAAAGAACGGACAACAAGACACCGTGGCTGATCAGGCTGCGTTTAAGGAGAATTTCATACAGGCTTATGTAGGGGAAACGAGGAGGGGGATGGGGCAGAGGAATGCAGGACAGTGAGGGAGGGGTCGTTGCCTAGTAACCAGGCCCCTGAAGGTGAGCAGCTAGCAGGTGTTGGCAAGGTGAAAGGGTCGCAGAGGGAGGGGTTAAGTGATCTAATTGTGGAGTGTTTCCTTCTTGCCATCAGCCATTCCTGTGAGCCCAAGTTCTGTTCCTTAGGAAGCTGGGGAGGGGTGGACTATTCTTTAAAAAGGCTGGCAGTATTTACAAGAGGTTCTGAATAACAATGATCGCTCCTAACAAGCCTAAAATGGCTCTGGAAAAAAGTCTCCTTTTAAAAACTAGGGGATGGTGACAGGCCAAGTGTGATGTAAAGACGGATATAAGCTGTCTGGGACTGAACAGAAGAGGCCGGTTGTGTAGGACTGCCCTGGCCACATTGTAACCATCTTCAGCCGTTGTTCAACTCACATCTAGCATGGTTTGCCCGCCCCCATCAACCTCATCCATATAATCCCTCACAGCCCAGCCCAGAGGTTTCTCTTCAGTTATTCTAGGTCTGTCAAGTTTGCCCTCAGGCCTAGCCAGGATCTTGTGGACACCAGATTGTTCGTGGGTGGGGGCAGAACGGGTATCAGCTGTTCATCAGAGAACGAGAGGTAAAAAGGAGCGCACCCCGCCGTTGGCTAACCATGTGCCTTCTGACCCTGCAGGCTTGGCCTTCGCAATGCTGGCAGCTGTACCTCCGGTGTTCGGCCTGTATTCCTCATTTTACCCTGTTATCATGTACTGTTTCTTTGGAACCTCCAGGCACATATCTATAGGTAAGAACTTATATTTGATGACCTAAATTTTTTTCCAAGCTTGGCTGTATGCTTGCTACTCCGGCTTAGTAAACCGTTTGTGACTGCATAACCATTACTTGCTTTAGAAATGCTACCACACCCCAGTACATCAGTGGCCCAGCCTGTGTGAAACCCTGGTTGGTTCCCAGCAGTGGAAACGTGTGTGTGTGTGTGGGGGGGGGGTTCCTTCTTCCTCCTCTTCCTCCTCCTCCCCCTGCCCCAAGACTTCTGCAATTAATAGCTCTCTAGTAACCTTGGGCTAATTAAATGGGCAATCCTCTTGCATAAAAGTGATTGTTTAAAGTTGTAAAATGAGATCAATGCCTTATTGCCCTATATATTTTGCTTGAGTCTAGTTTTCCTTATTTATTTTAGTAGTGATACTCAGGGCTCCTAATCATGTTGCACGCATCTGCATCTGCATCAGACTTCAAGCTCTGAATCATACATGTTCTCTCTTCAGTGCGTTTAGGAGCAGATGCATGGGATTTAATTATAATTCTAGAGCTTTGTGAGGCCGCCAGCTACAAACAAACCCACACAGCGTTTAGATATCTATTGCTTGGTAACAAATGCCACCCAACTTAGAAGCTCACATTGTATATAACTTTTTAAAATAAATTTAAATAAAAAAATAGGATTCCTGAAAAACAACCATTTTACTATCTCTCCCGGTCCCAGGAGATGAGCATCTCAGGAGGACTCACCTAGGCAGCTAGCCTCCTCTCTTCCTGCTTCCTCCTTTCTCCCTCTGCTCCCCCTTCATCTCTCACGCTGTGGTCCCAGAGCTTGCCCACATGGCCCTGCTGGAGCTTGTCCACACATGATGACCCAGGCTCCAGCAGAGGTTTGGAAGCCTTGAACTGGTAAGATTGCTCACCAGCAAAGTAGCCTGGCTCCAAGACTGATGTTCAATCCCTGTGACCCACCAGAGGGAAAGAACTGACTCCCATAAGTTGTCCTGTGATTACCACAATGAGTTGTGAGGTGAAATGCCCACCCCTTTCTCCTGCATGTTGTGGTGTGTGTGAGAGTGAGTGTGTGTGTGTGTGAGTCCGTGCGGGGGCCGGAGGTGAATGGCAGGTGTCCTCTGCTATTACAGTCCACCTCATGCCTTGAGGAGAAGTCTCTCACTGAACCCAGCGTTCGCGGCTTGGCTAGACTGGCTGACCAGTGAGCTGTAGAGACGCACTTCTCCATCCCTCCTCCTCCTCAGCGCTAGGGTCACACACGCACTTCCACACCAGATGTTATGCGGGCGCTATAGATCCTCGCTCGGGTCCTCAAGCTGACAGGCGCTTCACCGACAAAGCTACTGCCCAGCCCTGCAGCATCACTGTGGAGGTCCCCACAAGCGCCGCAGCCAGCTTGCTGAGAAACGATCGCGTGGGGTGAGAAGGGGATCCAGTTCAGCATGGCTTAGTTAGCCGGTATTAGCTCAAATTTCTAAAGTCTAACTCCAGGAAGTTTATTTCACATATTTAAGTATAGTACAGTTTTGGTAATGGTGATCTCAATCCCATGCACACAGTGGAGCTTAAGGCATGACTATATCCAAACTCCTTTGCAAAGGGCGTGTGGCCTCTACCATGAAGATGGGTTTTTCTAGATTAAGGGCCTAGGATCTGGTGTGTTCTTGGCCATATAGTCAGCACAGAGGTCACCAGGTCTCAAAGTATATGTAGCATCTCTAACTATTGATTAAGAAGCAGGGTCTCTGGGAGAAGAAGTCTGGGGGAGTCAGGTGTAGCCTGTCCCCTCTGACAGTGCAGGTCGCCAGGCTGTCAACTACATTCACGCCCAGACTTTGGGGTAGAAAGCAGGCACACACCCCTTCTATTGAAGAGGCAGGTTTGTCTGTGAGCACAGGAACCTCAGAAGTCACCCAGGGCCTCTGCTTTCATTAAAAGGACTCAGGGTCATTCTGTTGGTTAAAACGAAGTTGGGCGGCCCTGAGCAGGGCTCATTCATGGTCGTCACAGCAGAGCGCTGGGCTAACTCCCTGAGCCTCTGCACAGCGCTCACCCATGTGCCTCTGTTGCAGGCCCGTTTGCTGTTATTAGCCTGATGATTGGTGGTGTGGCCGTTCGGTTAGTGCCAGACGATATAGTCATCCCAGGAGGAGTAAATGCAACCAATGGTACAGAAGCCAGAGATGCATTAAGAGTGAAAGTCGCCATGTCTGTGACCTTACTTTCGGGGATCATTCAGGTGAGACTCCAGTGTGGGGAGATAGACTCTGGTTTGTTCATCTGTGAAGTGCCTAGTGAATTCTCTTAACTGGTCTCACTATGTGTGGGCAGAGGCAGACAGCAAAATCCCAAAGCTGGGGGCTCAAGATCCTTAGCCAGTAAGAATGACTAGCAACCCCCCCCCCTTGAGTGTTCCAGAAATCCCAAAAGCGAAACGAGCTTGATTGACGGGGTGGAAGTTGGGAAGAGGCCTCCCTTATGAGCTTGGGGGGAACGGCACGTGTAAGGTCTGCATGAGTGAAGCCCTCACAGGCAGAGTGTAAGCATGGCCAGGGTTCTGAGGCACTCAGGCCATCACAGGTCTAGCATCATTTTCTTTGTGGCCGGTGATCAGTTAGCTGCCACAGGTACAAGTCCGGAGGACTAGGGAGCCACCTAGTGAAAACTTCACAAGGGTCCTGTTGATTGTCATTTCCTGACTCATCGTGCTATTTGTTTGTTTCTTTGTCATTTTAAAAACTGTAGTTTTGCCTAGGTGTCTGCAGGTTTGGATTTGTGGCCATATACCTCACGGAGCCTCTGGTGCGAGGCTTTACCACCGCGGCCGCTGTGCATGTGTTCACGTCCATGTTAAAGTACCTGTTTGGGGTTAAAACAAAGCGGTACAGTGGGATCTTTTCAGTGGTGTATGTAAGTAAGCAACCCCTGACTCCCTGCTGCTGTCCCCACACTCCACCCCTCTCTGCTTCTGGTCCTCTTCACCTTAGTGCTGTCGGGTGGGAGACGCAGTTTTTCTCAGGCTTTCGGAGAAGGGGGCTATAACCGTGGTTAAACCCTGAAGCCCGTGACACAGATATAGGATTCTCCCTGCTTCTGAAGGAGTTTGTTCTTAGGGCTTTGTTTGGGACTAATTGCACCAGTCACTCTAGCTAGCCGAAGAGACAGCCTTTAAGACCAAATTAGGGTGGGTGTTTTTTTCCTACACTAATAAATAACTTAAAGGTATAATAGGAAGCTGGGTGTGATGGTGCACATCTTTAATCCTAGCACTTTAGAGGCAGAAGCAGGCAGAACTCTATGAGTTTGAGGCCAGCCTGGTCTACAGAGTGAGTTCCAGGCCGGCCAGGGCTATATAGTGAGACCCTGTCTCAAAAATCAAACAAATAAAAGATGTAATAGGAAAGACATCAACTCTTAAAGGCTACTTATGCAAGCAGGGGGAAAAAAGCTACAAATGGTTTAACTAACAAGTAATCATCTTAATATAGTAAAACATGTACAGGCTATCCACAACAGAGAAAGTAAAAATTGTTTGCAACTGCGTAGTAAAAATAACTGACCAGGTCTAAGTTGATTATAGAAATTGACGACAAATCCTAAACATTCAACATTTTTTCACACAACACAATATAGCTGGAAACCATTAACAATATAGCTTCCCAAATCCTGAATGGGAACTGGAGAGATGTCTCAGCTGTTAAGAGATCTTGCTACTGTTGTGGGGTGCCAGAGTTAACACCCACATCAGGCAGCTTACGCTTGCCTCTGCCTCCAGATCCTGATGATTCAGCACCCTCTGGCTTCGCTGGGCGCAGACACACAGGAGCACACACATGCACGCACACACAAATTTACTTAAAAACAGAACAACAGCTACAAAACCTGTATGTTTAGAATCCAAGAGGACAACAAAGCATTTCTAAACACCCCTGAAGTACTTACAGCCAGTTGACAGTGAAATGGTAGAGGACATTTCGCTCCTTTGCAGGCCTTTCTTCACCAGCCCTGAGTTGAGTGACGAGCTGAGCAGACACAGCCTCGACTTGGGGCTGACAGTCCAATGGGAAGATAGTCATTGTGCAAGCATGTATTACTAACTCCATTAAGTGCTATAAGCGGGGACAGTATGGACACCCTTAGATTAGGGTTCGGGGACAGTCATTTTGAAGACGTGGCATTAAATTTGAACCCTCAGTTGATAATACTGGAATCAAACTGTAAGGATAGCCTACAAATTATTGATTTCTTGTGACAGCTGGAAATAGACCTCATTCTCTGAGACCTTAAATTGACGTGTCAGAGAAAATGCAGTCTGCACCCGCGTGGGCCCTGGACTTCCAGCCCACGTGTGTTGGGCTCTCCGCTCTGATGGGTTTCAGATGAAACGATTATAGTTGGGATATCCAGACCATAGCCCTAACATAAGTGGCTTTCTTCTCTAGCTCTCCTGGGCTTCCTTCGGAACATCCAAAGCCTGCCTAACTTCGCTGTCTCCGTCTCACAACAATTACTAAGTCCCATTTCAAAGCTTCACTGTGTATTGACCTCTTCGGTTTTCTGTGGGGTTGACCCTGAATCTTCCAGAACATTCACAACTCAGCCCCAAGGGCATTTTTCTGAATTTTATATGAACTACATTCCCATATCAGCATATCAAAAGTACCATAAGCCTTTCATGGTGGAGCATGCTAGTACTAACACTCCAGAGGAACATGAGTTCAAGGTCAGCCTGAACTCCATAGTGAGAGCTTGTTTCAAACAAAACGATGACAAACCTATAATGTTGTTGGATAAGAATTCTGAGTATAAACAAAACAACGACAAACCTATAATGTTGTTGGATAAGAATTCTGAGTATAAACAAAACGACGACAAACCTATAATGTTGTTGGATAAGAATTCTGAGTATAAACAAAACAACGACAAACCTATAATGTTGGGTAAGAATTCTGAGTATAAAGTTGAATGGTTATGATAAAGAAAATGCCTCCTAATCTGTAGAAGATACAAAGATAAATGCTTAAGCCTAAAACTTTTCAGTTTTTGTGCTGAGGGTTGAACCCAGGGCCTGGAGCGTGCTGCGTGTGTACCCCGCCGCTGGATTTTACACTAGCCCCCCCCCGCGCCTCTCTTTAAGTGTTGGCTCAGATGGAATTTTTGGAGCCTGATTTTTACTGTGGTAAAATACCCTGGACAAGAGGCCTGGCTGGAGGGCTCGGCAGCGAGTGCTTGCTGCCCTTGCAGAAGGCCGGGTTTCTCCCAGCACCGACGTGGCTCACACACCACCTGTAATTGCCTGTAACTCCAGTTCCGGGGCCCCTGATACCTTTTGATCTTGGTAGTCACACACACACACCCAGGCACACTACAGACTTATCAAACTAAACAAACACTTTACAACGCGTGTCTCATTCTTCACATTAGTCTTCACCGCACAGTGCTGTGGGATTAAGTGCATTTACTTTGCCATGCAACTGTGGTCGCCCTCCATTTCTAGAACCTCTCCAGCAGTCCAGATGGAGGCTTCCCACACATACAGCGGTCTCTCCCCATCCTGTCCTCTCGGCTCTGCTAGGCTGTGTCACGCTTGTCTCTGTGACTGCCTGTCTAGACGCCTCGCGAGTGTGGAGTCACGCACTACAGGAGCTGCTGCTTGGATGTAACCCTCCAGTGTTCACTGTGTTGCAGAGTACAGTTGCTGTGTTGCAGAATGTTAAAAACCTCAACGTGTGTTCCCTAGGCGTCGGCCTGATGGTTTTTGGTTTGCTGTTGGGTGGCAAGGAGTTTAATGAGAGATTTAAAGAGAAGCTGCCAGCACCTATTCCTCTAGAGTTCTTTGCTGTAAGTACATGCAAGATGGTGGCCTGCTCGGCCCCTGCGACTGCATGCACCTGTCCCTGCAAGGGACTCTGAAGCCGATGATAGCAGGAGGGCCCTCCCTCCACTCTGCAGAACAACTAACAAAACAGTAAAAATAAAAATGCATTAAAACATAAACATAGATGACTTTTAAAACCTAAGTGGAGATGTATTGCAAATTTTAACATTGGTTGTCTGTGAGAGTTGGGATTTGGAGGGATTTGTTTTTCTTAAGTTTTTTTCCATTATCTGTTTATTTTTTAAAGATCAAACATTATGCTGGGTGGGAGTGACTCTCACCTTTAATCCCAGCACTAGGCAGGCAGAGACAGGTCTGCTCTACATTGAGAGTTCCCCAGGACAGCAAGGGCTGCGCAGAGAAACCCTGTTTCTGGGGGGAAAAAAAGTACACGGCACCTTAATAGTCCATAGCTCTACTTGCCTTAATAAAGTGGCTTTCATTTGGAAAAGACAAAATTTCCCTAACTTTCTTCATTTTTTGATAGTTCTAAGATGAGAGAAATACCTTACAGTGTCATGTAAGTCAAGCCCAAATATCTCACAGCATATTCACGACTGTTTTGTAAAAGCATGCATGTATATTGAGATAAACAACACTATGTTCTTCAGTGACCACAATTACTTATTCATGGATGTGAACACGCAGTGAGCATTGCATAACCTTCAGCCTTGGAGTCACAGTGAACACTGCTCCTCACACCTCTCCACAGAGAACAACCGCAGAGCTCCCAGCTTTTGCGAAGATGAGACATAGTGAGAAGAACATGGTCTGAATGGATGTTCAAAGTGTGAGCTGCCTCCAGCCAGAAATCTGCACAGCCACATTGTCTCTCTGCACAGTCACACTGTCTGTCTGCACAGTCACACTGTCTGTCTGTCTGCACAGTCACACTGTCTGTCTGTCTGCACAGTCACACTGTCTGTCTGTCTGCACAGTCACACTGTCTGTCTGCACAGTCACACTGTCTGTCTGTCTGTACAGTCACACTGTCTGTCTGTACAGTCACACTGTCTGTCTGCACAGTCACACTGTCTGTCTGCACAGTCTCACTGTCTGTCTGCACAATCACACTGTCTGTCTGCACAGTCACACTGTCTGTCTGTACAGTCACACTGTCTGTCTGTACAGTCACACTGTCTGTGCACATACAGTCACACTGTCTGTCTGCACAGTCACACTGTCTGTCTGCACAGTCACACTGTCTGTCTGTCTGTCTGCACAGTCACACTGTCTGTCTGTCTGTACAGTCACACTGTCTGTCTGTACACACAGTCACACTGTCTGCACAGTCACACTGTCTGTCTGTCTGTACAGTCACACTGTCTGTCTGTACAGTCACACTGTCTGTACAGTCACACTGTCTGTCTGTACACACAGTCACACTGTCTGTCTGCACAGTCACACTGTCTGTCTGTCTGCACAGTCACACTGTCTGTCTGTACAGTCACACTGTCTGTGCACACACAGTCACACTGTCTGCACAGTCACACTGTCTGCACACACAGTCACACTGTCTGTCTGTACAGTCACACTGTCTGTCTGCACACACAGTCACACTGTCTGTCTGCACACACAGTCACACTGTCTGTCTGCACAGTCACACTGTCTGTCTGTCTGTACAGTCACACTGTCTGCACAGTCACACTGTCTGTGCACACACAGTCACACTGTCTGTCTGTCTGCACAGTCACACTGTCTGTCTGCACAGTCACACTGTCTGTCTGTACAGTCACACTGTCTGTCTGTACAGTCACACTGTCTGTCTATCTGCACAGTCACACTGTCTGTCTGTCTGTACAGTCACACTGTCTGCACAGTCACACTGTCTGTCTGCACAGTCACACTGTCTGTCTGCACAGTCACACTGTCTGTCTGTACAGTCACACTGTCTGTACAGTCACACTGTCTGTCTGTACACACAGTCACACTGTCTGTCTGTCTGCACAGTCACACTGTCTGTCTGTCTGCACAGTCACACTGTCTGTCTGTCTGCACAGTCACACTGTCTGTCTGCACAGTCACACTGTCTGTCTGTCTGTACAGTCACACTGTCTGTCTGTCTGCACAGTCACACTGTCTACACAGTCACACTGTCTGTCTGTCTGCACAGTCACACTGTCTGTCTGCACAGTCACACTGTCTGTCTGCACAGCCACACTCTTTCCTTATAGCCCTTAAAATCACAACCCCAGTGGATTCCCAAGTAGAAAGTTTGGTCCTCGCAAAGAATTATTTTTTTCAAAAAATAGTAGGTGTCGGCTATTGGTGCCTTTGATCCCAGCTCTTGGGTTGCCTACTAGGGAGGGCCACAATTTCAAGGCCAGTCTGGGGTACTAGGAGAAACTTGGTGGGTTTTTTTTAAATAGTTTTTCAAGATAGGGTTTCTCTGTGTAACAGCCCTGGCTGCCCTGGAACTCACTTTGTAGACCAGGGCTGGCCTTGAATTCATAGAGATCCACTTGCCTCTGCCTCACAAGTGCTGGGATTAAAGGTGTGCACCACCACAACTTGACAAGAGAACTTGCTTTTTAAAAGAAAAAAAAAACCCAGCATAATGAATGCAAATTTGATCCAAATTCAGAAGAGAGATGCTCCAGCCACAAAACCCTGTCGGGTAAGGCACAGAGAACTTGACCCTTTCCGTCCTCTTCCTTGCCCTAGTCTTCCAAACATGCAGCCAGTTATTTTTTCTTTCCCATTCTTCTGCGTTTGGAATCTGATTGGGGCTTCCTGAATGCTAGGACTGTGTCTGCCCCTGAGCTGCATGCTGGTCCTTTCTCAGAACTGAAAGGAAAAAGAGGCCATTTCTAACAATTTCAGACTCCTTATCTAGCTGGGATCGGGTGCAGAATTCCAGAATTCTTGGAAGAGCAAGAGGTGCAGGGCAGCTTTGCCAGGCAAAGGGCAGCAGTGCCTGATGAGGACGCAGTAAGTGATGCCGGTGGCCTTCCTGCCTCGGGTACCAGCTCTGCCCACTGCCCAGATGCCCTTTAAAGCACCTCATGTTCCCCAGGGAGTGGTTCTCCACAGCTACCACTGACGCTACAGTAATACCTTCATGTGCTTTTTAATGCAGGGGATAAGGACACTTGCTGACAAGCATGACAATCTGAATCCCATTCCCATGACCCAGGGGGTGGAAGAAGGAAACCGACTCCCAAAAGTTGACCTCTGACCTCTACATGCACAGTGTGGCATGCACTTTCACACAGTCACACACACACTCAATTATCAATAAAATGTACCCCCATACCCACCCACCCTCCAAAAAATTTGTCAAATAAACTTCTTGCCTATACATTCCACAGAGAAAAGAAAACATTCTTGTGAAGTTTGAGGACAGGGTCTCCATGACTCCTTTTAAGCATGAACTTTATTTTTTATTATAAATATGTTTTGAGTTTTGCATTCTGTGATACATCTCTTCATGCCAATAGGAAACAACGGTTTAGTAACCACCACATAAAATTGAGCCTTCAGGTACTTAAGCTATATTTGTTTTGTGAGTTTAAATATTCCAGGCATTCCTCCAGTCTGAGACACATAGCATTGGAGTCAGCAGATGTAACTGCCACAAACGTCACAGACACTGGGCCTGAGTCTGCTGTGGCTGACGGTACACAGACATGACTAGCAGTCATGCAAAGGCCCCTGCTGTAGAAGCTGCCCATACCTGGATCATGCCTTCCTTCTCTCTTGGATAGCCCGTTCCAAAGGGTCTGAAGGCAGCAGCTCCTGGGGATGTGGCCAGTAGCTGTCACCCTCTGTCATGCTCCTCTGCTTGGAGAGTTGTCTTTGTACCTCACATAAATCTAGGCCTTGGGAACACCGCTCTGGTGACATGCTCAAGAAGACTGTGAGCCACTCCAGGAGGCTTCTGGCCATGTTGATGCTGCCATCCATGAGACAGGGAGAGCAGTAGCAGGATTCTAAAGCCAAATGTGGGTTCATGGTGACAGGCTGACATTACCAGCCTCACCACACACATGCTGTGTCCTACACTCTTTCTACCTGCCCCAAACTCAAGGTCAATCCCAGTGATAGCCTCTTATGTGGAAGCCGACTAACCCAACACCTCAGCTGGGAACAGAAAACAAAGAAACTGACTGTAGGGCTCTTTGTAGGGCTGTAGAGCTCTTGTGTGGTAAAGTCACTGAAAGCTGGGTGGCAGCTGAAGATGCCCCTCCTAACGCTGAGAAGAGAGAATAGACTCCTGATCCACAGGTCCTCAGAGCCTTGATTTTGTGCTATGACAGCGCTTGGCTCCAAGGTGCACTTGTTTTTCTGTCTGTTGTAGGTGGTGATGGGAACTGGCATTTCCGCAGGGTTTAACTTACAAGAGTCCTACAGTGTGGATGTGGTTGGAACTCTTCCTCTAGGGTAAGAAAATAGTTTAAGAAGAGTGATTGAATATTCAAGAGATCTACTATCTCTGAATCTTCATGAAAAAAATCATCTTTTCTACATATCAAATAGCTGAGGGTGTGTGTGTGTGTGTGTGTGTGTGTGTGTGTGTGTGTTAAAAACACGTAACAACTGGATATGATGGTGTTCACCTTTAATTCCAGAATTTAGGAAGCAGAGGCAGGCAGATCTCTGTGAGCCTCAGGCCACTCTGGTCTATATAGCAGGCTCCAGGATGCCAGAACGATATAGTGAGACCCTGTCTAGTGGTAGGGAGTGGACATAGCAGGAAAAAGTTTAAAGATTTTTGTTTTGCATGTGTATGTGCATGTGTACATGTCCAGGTGTCAATTGAGGCCAGAAGAGGTCCTGGAGCTAGTGTTGCAGGAGACTGTGAGCCACTTGGCATGGTCCTGTAGTTGAAGGGAGACCCAAGACCAGTGAAAGGGGAAGACCCCACCTTCAGGAGTAAGCGGAATAGGCATGTGGGAAACAGGCTGTTGATTGACAGGAGTATTTATCTGGAGTTTGATTGACCTGAAGGGGTGGATTCAAGCCTATTCCCTGACGCTTACAAGAATATTTTAAGATTATGAAAAGAGATAAGCTTTAGATATGTTAGCATTCCCACTGTTTGTAATCTGTACTGAAATCCACATTGTAGAAAAGACAGTAGACTCATGCCTTTGGGAACACAAAATGATTCTGAGATGAAAGCATAAACACTCTCCCAGAGTGCTGGATCTATATATTAAACAGATGTTTTTTAGCACAATGAGAAGCTCCTTTATACTTAGAAGACAACCAAAGGAAATTTAAAATCTTGAGCTTGTGACTATGATAACAGTAGTCAGTGCTTAGCAGAGCTAGATTAATACCTTATCAGAACGCCATTAACTAATGTTAGAATCTGAACTTTTGAAGTGTTAGTATAGCAATAGCATAAAGAGGGAAAGAAATCTGAAATTTCTTGTTTATTTGTCTGTTTGTTTGGTTTGGGTTTTGGTTTTTTTGAGACAGGGTTTCTTTGTATAGCCCTGGCTGTCCTGGAACTCACTCTGTAGACCAGGCTGGCCTTGAACTCAGATATCCACCTACCTCTGCCTCCTGAATGCTGGGATTAAAAGTGTCCACCACCACACCTCACTTCATTTTTTTAATACCTTAAATCACCTTCTTATCACAACTTATGACCTCAGAACATTAGAACTTGATTTTGTATTCTGTCCATTATCTCACACTGACTCTCTAACAGTGAGTCCTTTGAATAGAGTCAGAAGATAATGCTATTCAGTTACTAGTTACAAAAGCTTAATTAAATGAGAAAGTCTAACATGTAGATTTCTCCTTTAAATGAACGGAACAAAATCTGCTGGTAGGTCTGCATCCGTGCCCGGGTACTCCTCCGTGATGCCTCCTTTCCTTCCCTATGGCACTGTAGAGGACGGGCTGCCCTCCTCCCCCATGGGAGGTAAACTTTAAAGGAAGACAATAATCTTACCTCCTGAAGCTTGACTACCCAGAAAACGCATCCTGTTGAAACTTACTCAAAAGCAAGCAGTGGTTCAAATGTACTCCCAGCATGTGGGAAGCTGTGGTTAATGTGAAGACAAGTTTGGGGTCAGCCTGGGCTACACAGTGAGCTGGACCCAACTAACAGTTGGGGCCTGGCTGACATCTTTCCTCATGGCATCTCCAGCAGAACAGCCAACTCCTTTTACATGAGGGGAAAGAAAAGGATTTCCCAAACCGTGTTAGGACTCAAGAACATCACTTTCTACACATTCTGTCAGTAAAATGAGTTACAGCTTCTTTTGGACACTATCACCAAAGCAGCTAATAGTTTAAACAAAAAGAACAAGAAACAGAAATAAAGCAGCACAGGTCCATGTTGCTCAGTTTCAGAGAGATTTATTTGGTCATCACAGCAGGTAAGACATGGTAGCAGAAGTATGCACTAACTCCCCCTGGAAGCTGAGAGCCAGAGGTGCAGATGACCTTCAAGGTCCTTCCCCTGTTAACCTGTTCCTCTATCCAGGCCAACCTCCTAAAGGCTCGTGCCGAGAACTGGGGACTGAGGGTTCAAAGCATGAGCTATGGGGACATTGCACAGTCAAACCATCACAGCTTCTTGTGCATTGGACTCAGAGGCCTCCTGCAGGGAAACTGACCTGGCTACACATTTCTTGGTATCACAAGGTTTCCTCTCGAATTTTGGTGGAAGCCCCAGTGATCTGTCACTATTGCATTCCGCATGTCTGCAAAACCAGCACCATATACTTAACACCAAATGGTGCTGCGGGCCTTAAGTAATAGCTGGGGTTGAATGGCCCACAGCGACAGTGACCTGTGCGTGCCTGCACAGCTGGACTTGGTAAAACATTTTGCTAGATAGCCCTTTTTCTGAAGGACACCCCTTCATCTCTCCCTTTGAAATGGAAGTTTCAAATAAATTTGTATTCTTATACTTGGGGCCTCTGGGAGAGGGGTCTCGTTCTCAAGGCAGCTTTCCTATTGCCCCGCCTCATGATCCCTGGCTTCTCTTTAATGGCAAGAATCTCTATACCAACATGCTTTATCCGGAACAGCCCTAAATGTGCTCTCTGTCCTTTCCTGGCCATCCTGCTCATTTGTTTATCTAAATTCTCACTACCTGGCTGAAAGAAGCAAGCAGTAACCATGCCACATCTGAAATGTTACACTGTCTTGAAGTTTCCTCCACCAAATCAACTAGCCCGTTAACTTTTTCCTTCCTCCTCATTCACATCTTCAGGACGTGGACCCAAGCATCCAGCTTCTTTGCCAAATATAACACAAATCATTAAAGATCTTGTTCCCATCTGAAACCTCATGAGCTCATATTCACATTTCTACCCACATTTTGGACTTCCAAACTCCGAGCAGAAACAACCAAGAAGCTCTCATTAGCGTTCTAGGGTTTATCAAACCCACGGCTTCAAACTCTTCCATACCCCTCCTCAAAGTCATCTCTAAGGACCTGAGAGGCACAGAGTCAGGTCTGTCTCAGTGACAACCCCATTTCTTGCATACTTTGTAACTGTGACCAAATTACCTGGAAGAACCAACGTAAGGAAGCAGAGAATTGTTTTGTTCCTTCCCGTCCACCATAGTGGGACGGGTATGGCAAACGGGCTCCATCCACAAGAGCAGGAGACAATAACTTCTCACGTCATGGGTGAGGAAGCAGAGAGCCCAGGCCAGAACCAGGGATGGAGATAGCTTTCAAAGGCCTGTCCTAGTGACCTACCTCTGCTGACCAGGCCTGACTCCTAAAGGTGCAAGTGGGGCATGAGCCTGTGGGATACATTGTGTACACAAGTCAAAAGATCAGATCTGGAGGCCAGCCTGGATTCAGTAGGAGACACATCTAGATGGACGAATCAGCTGCACCCACAAGTGTGAGAGGAATGGGGGCAGCTGCGTCTGAAGCCAGCTACTGTGCTGGTCAATATGTCCTCATAAATAGACCTTGAAGGGCCCAGAAAGTGGCAGTTGACTGGTAAGAAACCCCAGGGTCACTTTCTTGAACTCATTTCAAAACATATCCTGTACTGGTATCCTATATTCCAAGCCTAAATCAGCTGCCAGGCTGTCCATCTCTGTAGTCAGACCTCCAGGTTTGTCCTTCTGGTCTACCTTGGGAAAAAAATCACTTCACACCTGAAAGTATCCTTTTTTTAACCTATAATTTGGAATATTGATGGCCCCTCTGAAATAGGCCATTTCAGAAAGGGAGAAGAGAGTTTATGTAAAAACTAACCTATACTTAACAGGCATCATGTCCCTCTCCTCCCTCCCATCCCTTTCCTTACCTCAGGATTTGAAATGTACTTCTGACCTTGCGTCACAGTGTGAAAACATTGGTGGAGAAAGGCAAGCTGTTCATGCTCTTGTGTTCTTGATTGAAGAACTAATTGGACTTACACAGTTATGACCTTGTGCCTTGTCTGTGAAGTCAGGGCTATAGTGGTGCCTCATTCACAGACCATGAGAAATAGTTAAGTCAGCATAGAACCCAGCACAGAGGACCACACACAGGAGAACGGGATAGTTGGTTTACATAGCAAGTAAGTGAACGCTACCATTACTTAGCCCAGTGCCTTGAAATGAGTGAGATGTCTCTGCAAATGCCCACTGTCCCTTCCCTTATAACACTGTAGGGACTCCCTACCATGTTACTGTTAGGACAGGCGTTCCAGACTACAAGCTGAAGTTTCCAGAAGTCATACCTTGGCTCCTCCAGTTTCCATGCGAGGCCCAAGGAGTAGTTCCTTCTCTTTTCCGTGTTAGATCTCAACCAAAGGGACCGTGACACCACAAGAGCAGAGGGGAGACATGAATTTGTTACCGAGCATCAGTTCTCCACTGAAGCAGGGCTCACCCAAAACTCTCTCCACCCCAAGCCTGGCTCAGATGTCTGTGGCATCTGAACACTCCAGCAACCTGTCCTCATCCTAGTCTCACCCACACCTGCCTCCGGGTATGAGGCTACTCTACTATCAATACCTCACTTGGCACCTGATCTATACAGGTAACCCATCCCATAGGAAGCCAGCATGGACCAGGAAAGACCTTGGGCAGCAGAAGGACCCTTCTTATTGCCACACAAGAACCAACAAGTCCCTGAGCACTTGTTTGCAGATAATGCCACTCTCCCATGTTCTGCCCCACTCTGTGTGTTCACCCCCAGTGCTCACGCTCTTGCGTTAAAGTCACCTTGGCTTTTCAGACTACTTCCTCCCGCCAACCCGGACACCAGCCTCTTCCACCTCGTGTATGTTGATGCCATTGCCATAGCCATCGTTGGATTTTCAGTGACCATCTCCATGGCCAAAACCCTGGCAAATAAGCATGGCTACCAGGTTGATGGCAACCAGGTAAAAATTGTCTGTTTCCATGGATGTTTCACTGGGGTGCAAGCACCAAGCTCTGCTGGAGACAGCAAAGGGACCAGCTTAGTATGAAAGCCTTTATTCTGGGGATGGACATAATTGAAGCGTGTATTTATCTGACACTGCAATATACTCCTCCCTGCTTCCCTCCCTCCCTCCTTCCCTCCCTCCCTCCTCCCTCCCTCCTCCCTCCCTCCTTCTCTCCCTCCCTCCTTCCCTCCCTCCCTCCCTCCTTTTCTCCCTCCCTCCCTCCCTCTCTCCCTCCCTAATTCCCCCTTTTCCTTCCTTCTTTCTTCCACCGCTGTTGCATACCAGTTCTCACACTGGGGCTAACCGGGAACTTATTACATGGTCCAGGCTGACCTCAAACTCACAATTCTCCTGCTCCGGTTTTCTGAGGGCTGCCTCCTTTCATAACATAGCTGAGAGTGGGTTTTGAATCCAGACACTATGATCTGTAATCTTGCTATAGTATCTATTTTAGCACAATGTGTTTTTTTCACATTTTATGGCAGATTCTTCTCCTATATTACAAAATAGCAAATCTTACCATAGAATGAGAATCCTTTCTGAGAAAGGTCAAGCAAATACTTCTTTTTTTAGTTATTTAATTTTTTGAGACAGAGTCTCAAACTTGTGGTACCCTGCCTCAGCCTCTAGAGTGCTGAGGTTATAGGGCATGGGACTGTATGTACCTGCATGTGTCTAAAAGAACTGGATGTTCCACATTTAATAAAATCAACCTAGAAATCCCAAAATAGCACTTAGAGCAGGACTCACAGGTCCTGAGAAGGCACTGATGTGCATTTCTTCATGAGCAGCAGGCCAGACATCTAAAAGATGCCAGTAATCATGCATCCAGAACTTTCTCTTTTGAATAGTTTATTTTTTTCAGTTTTTTGCAACCCTTTTTAAAAGCCCTGCTTGTAGAGAGAGTGGGTTTTGGAAACAGGGAGCAGGTGGGAAGCAGAGCATTTATCTTCAGCACAGTAAAAATCCAGCCTTCCTCCCACTGTACAATATGCCCTAATTCCAACTTTGAACTCATGCTGAAGAAACAACATTTGCAAAGTGAAGGGGGACAGCCGGCACCGCAGAGGGTGTGTATCTAATGCACCCTGGCCCTCCCCAAGAGTGACCTATCTGTCACCTTTTCTTTGTTCCCACATGGAAAAGGAGCTCATCGCCTTGGGGATCTGCAACTCCATCGGATCTCTCTTCCAGACCTTTTCAATTTCATGCTCCTTGTCTCGAAGCCTTGTTCAGGAGGGCACAGGAGGGAAGACACAGGTGTGTACACAACAGTCCTCTAAGAACTGGTGAGCTCGGTGCTGATTAGATGTCAAGAAATAGATGTCAATTTCTTGGTTCTGTTCTGTTTCCAAATAAAGCTACTCTGCCTGAAGATCCATGCTATGTAGCAAATCAGAGAAAGGCGTGATTGGTGGAAGCAAATCACACACACGCACACACACGCACACACACACATACACACACGCACGCACATACACACACGCACATACACACGCACACGCACACACACGCACATACACACGCACACGCACACACACGCACACACATACACACACGCACACACACGCGCGCACACACACATACACACACATACACACACGCATGCACACACATACACACACACGCATGCACACACACACACACACGCACACACACACGCACACACATACACACGCACGCACACACATACACACACGCACACACACACACACACGCATGCACACACATACACACACACGCATGCACACACATACACACACGCACACACACATACACACACATACACACACGCGCGCGCACACACACGCGCGCGCGCACACGCGCACACAGAATCTATAGAAAAGAGGTATATTCTCCAGTTAAATTGGAAGTTATATGACACTCCACTTGCTACAGTACACCTTAAATATTCAGACATGAGCTTTTTCTGCAAGGCCTGGACTGAGTGTGGCTTTGAGGCTAGCTCCATCCCTTGGAATGTTCACAAAATGATGGAAGTATTTATTCTTTGCAACCATTCAGCATGGCCACCATTAACAACATGTGGCTCTTGAGCGCCTGAAATGTGGCTATACAACCAAGACCTTTCATTTTCATTTTTAAAGACTGAATTCATGGCATGCAGCCACCATATTGGACAGCAAATGCTAGTCCCAACTCTTCTGTTCCTGGGTCTCAGGTTGGCGCCCAGTGTCTTTCTCCACCTCTGACAAGAGCATTTGGCCAGTTCAGTTGTGCTTTTTAAGCTGTAAGAAGAGGGGGCGAGAGGTATAGGTCAGAGGTGATGAGCTGGTGCTGTAAGTTCCCGCAATGCTTTGGAAGACTTCTTCAAATCAGCGTGTTCTTGATTTTCCTGTGCTGAAAGTGGCCACGTGTAGACCATCTGTGCCGCTTCTGACACTGGTCTAACCCCCCTCATGAGCTTCTGATGCTGGTCTAACCCCCCCATGTGCTTCTGACACTGGTCTAACCCCCCCCCATGTGCTTCTGACGCTGGTCTAACCCCAAGTGTCTTCTCTCACGCAGCTTGCAGGCTGTCTGGCCTCCCTAATGATTCTTCTGGTCATATTAGCCACAGGATTCCTCTTTGAGTCCCTGCCCCAGGTGTGTATCGTGGCTTGATGGGAAGGTTCCTTCTAGTCTGCTCATGTTTTTGTGGCTATCTTGGAAGCTGGTTGTTTTTGGTTTTTTCCTCTTTTTATTGTGGCTTCATCTGGGTAGTATGGGAAAGGGCCATGGGGAGGCCAGATTCTGTCCATCTATGTACTGATAGTTGCATAGCCTTGACCTCCTGGTCAGTTTCTTTATCTGCAAAGGAACTTGTGGCCTGACTGACCCCCACCCCACCCCAGACACTTTCTGCCTTTGACCTTCACTAAAATTCTGAGATGACCTACAACAGGACATTTGCTGACTGTAGTTAATCTAAGGGAAATCAGAAAAAAATGAAGTCATAAGGAGAGAAACCAAAACAGAAATCATTCTTATAGTCACAAATTTTATCTGGGGCGTCTCAGCTGCCACGCAGACTTCCTGGTAGGACATACACCTGGGTTTCCAGGGCCCATTATAAATGACCAAATGCTAGGAGTCTCGGTGCCCATAACTTCAAAGGTGCCCTTAGTGCCCGGCGCAGAGAGGTAGGTCAGTAGGTGGGAACGGCAGGAAGACGGGGAGGCCAGAGAGGAGGCTCTGTGGCCGCGGTGAAGGAGCAGGGGTGTCCGCACTCTGTGGCCGCGGTGAAGGAGCAGCGGTGTCCCTACTGTGCTGCAGGCTGTGCTCTCCGCCATTGTGATTGTCAACTTGAAAGGGATGTTCATGCAGTTCTCAGATCTGCCCTTCTTCTGGAGAACCAGCAAAATAGAGCTGGTGAGTAAAGGCAGCTGCTAGTCACAGGCCAGCAGCCACCAGCGGTGTGAATAAAATGCGAGAAAGACGCTAATGCACTTAATTGCTGTGTTATTCCCGTGAGGCATGCATGTGTGTGTATGTGCATGTGTGTATTTCTCATGGATCTGTTAACATGGTTCTCTAGAAGCGTTTCACCTTTTCTGTAGACCATCTGGCTTACCACCTTCGTGTCTTCCCTGTTCCTGGGGCTGGACTATGGGCTGATCACTGCTGTGATCATTGCCCTGCTGACTGTGATCTACAGGACACAGAGGTGAGTGTCTGGCTGAAATTATAACGTGACTGGAAGAAGGACCTCATGGTAGGACACATACCGGGCATGTTGAAGGCTCCGAATTCAAGCCCCGATACCTGAGGGGTGGGGGTGGGGGTAAAAGAAGCCCTCATGGTTGTGTCAGATGCTCTGCCACATCACAGCTAAAGAAGACGCGGTGGTGGTCGTGTTCCTGGAGTCCGCTTCCACCCTCGTTCCTGCCAGCCCGACACAGGCTTGCACTGGCTTGTTCGCCCTCCTTTGAGTCAATCACAGTAGAGCAACAACGGGGCCAAACACTGACACTGCTTTCACAGGCTTTTGGCTGCCCCTCCACTTTGAGCCCCCGCGTCCTTTTATCGATTCTTCCTGGTGGGAAACCGAGTCCACTGGGGAAGGTAGAAATAACCTTTCAAAACAAGAACCTTACGTGAGAGTAAGGGGCGCAGGCACAGGGGCGCAGGCACACTCCAGGGGTACCACCGCTCAGCTGAGGGCAGCACCCTTCCCACCTGAAATACAAAAGGCACTCTACCTGTACTTATAAGTCACAAGTGGTCCTTAAGTCTGAAAGGCCCCTGGGGGGGGAAGGATTGAGGAATGTTAACCCTTTACCTGCAGAATGCCCGGTGCTCCTGATGTCTAGGTAGGAAGTGAACATTTCCATTCTTGAAATGACACAAAAGAAATATGCTAAGAACACATGATCTAAATTGAGAATGGAATTAACTACTTTTATTAACAAATTTTGACACTGTTGTCCATTTTTCTCTTTACATTTTATGTCTAGAAGTATTTTCGTCTGCATGTATGTCTGTGCACTCTGTGTATGCCCAGTGCCTATGGAGAACAGAGAAGGCTGTTGGATGCCCTGCAATTGGAATTGCAGATAGTCGTGAGCTGACTTGTGGGTGCTGGGAATTGAACCTGGGTCCTCTAGAAGAGAAGATAGTGCTCTTAACCACTGAGCTATCTCTGTCCAGTCCCATTGTCCATTTTTTCTTAACGAAGTTTCCCCCCATTGTTATACAGTCTCTTATTAGAATACAGAGGAGCTGTCTGTCTCAGAGCTCTGGTAAATGTGTTTAAGGATACCTAAGGAGCCGAGAGTGTAGCTCTGAGGAGGGGCAGATGCTTTCTAGACACGAGGACCCAGCCCAGTCCTCAGCTCCAAAACTAACAAGATCTATGTCCTCTGACAAACAGCAGAATAGAGTCTAAGATGTAAACATCTTCTTGATTTCTTATCAAGGCTGTTCTTCTTTTTGTTTCCTTAATGATATACTTCTCTGTCTCCCTCAAATAACTAGACTTGAGTTTATGTCCCATCCTTTCTGATTTTCCTGGAATTTTACAGGTTGGCATTTGAGAGACCATCACTCAAAATACCTGTTTATTCTCAGTTGCTCCTTATTCTATAATTAGGGCACACTTCCACGAGTCAGCTACTCGCCATTCGTGTCCGTGTTGTCTTAGCGAGGGTTCTATGGCTCTGATGAACCCCATGACTGACCAAAGAGCAAGCTGGGGAGGAAAGGGTCTATTTGACTTATGCTTCTCCATTCTAGTCCATCACTGGAGGAAGTCAGGACAGAAACTCAAATAGGTAGGAACCTGGGTGCAAGCGTTGATGCAGAGGCCATGGAGGGGTGCTGCTTACTGGTTTGATCCCCATGACTTGCTCAGCCTGCTTTCTCCTATAAAAGGATCACCAGCCCAGGGATGGCCCCACCCTCCATGGGCTGGGCCCTCCCCAACCTATCCCTAATTAAGAAAATGACTTACCTACAGCCTGCTGTTATGGAGGCATTTTCTGAAAGGAGGTGAGACTATCACGTTGCCATAAAACTATTCAGAACAGGTATGCTCCCAGAACTCGGGTTCCCTCAGAGCACAGCCCAGAGGAGAAGTCTTTCAACAAGCCATCCCTAAGCATCTTTTCCATGAACTGCAATGGGGTCTTTCCTTCACCTACAGTTTAGTCAGCTTTGTAAAGTGTGATAAATAATTATAATCTTCCTTGAGCTGATGTATGCTGAGATTCTGCTGCTCTACCACAGGCAGACTAGGCTCTCAAGCTGTTGCAGTCAATAAAAACAATTGTCTTCCCCTGAGGGTGACAGACATGTAATAATGGTAATACTGATGTGGATATGATAATGAGATAGGAGTGGCAGCAAGTGATTATAGTGTTACACGTTTAGCTCATTGTAGAGATCAAAGCGTTATGTCATTCCTTCCATACAACCCAATGACTGTTAGCATCCCCATTCCACACATGGAGAAACTCAGTCCTGCGGTGACTGGGAAGCTTACTCAAGTCACAGCATGTGATGAGAAAATGATCTAAATATGGTTTTTCATGGATCTAGAGGCTGGTTCTTTTTGTTTCGGTTTTTTATGGTTTTTGAGACAGAGTTTCTCTGTGTGCAGCCCTGGCTGTCCTGGAACTCACTCTGTAGCTTGAACTCACAGAGGTCTGCCTGCCTCTCTGCCTCCTGAGTGTTGTACACCACTGCTGGCTTTAAAGGCTGATTCTTAGGAATTTTATCATCTTCATAAAATTAGAACATAAAGCTATGCAGGCTGCAGTATGTGTAGCAGGCTGTGACAATCAGCAAATAAAACCTACAGATATGGAGAGAGGGGGGGGAGAGAGAGAGGGAGAGAGAGAGAGAGACGTCCTTGTTCCCGGCATCCAATGACCCCTGTTGGAATCAGTAGGCTCTAAGCCTGCATAGAAGGAGTGTCCAAGCATTCCGGGGTACAGGGTAGCCCTTCCCTCATTTGCCTGTAACTGCTCCTTCCTTTTCTCTACAGCCCGAGCTACAAAGTCCTGGGACAGCTCCCCGACACGGATGTGTACATTGACATAGATGCATATGAGGAGGTAGGGCCTTTTCTAACACCTTCCATGAGTATAAGCGTGTGATGGGAGTCGCTGAGTGATGCTTCTGGCCGTGGTGAAAGAGAGAAGGGAAGAGAGACCTAGTGAGGGGTGTGAGGTCACAGCTTCCATTCAGGGTTGGGACTCAGTTTTGTGCTTTATTAATACCTAACATATCTAGGGTATATTAATTACCCTACTTCCTAATGTTCACTTTTAATGAGAATGGGAATATAGAGTTCACATTATAAAAACCCTGAAGTTGAGGGCGCTTTGTATGTGCGTGGTTTTCTTTTGAAGGGTTTGAAGCCATGTTAAGATCCAGGTGGTGGGACAATGACACTCTCCCACTTCATCGTTAATAGTTAAAATTAGAGCCTCAGAGATCCTTGATTTTAATGTTTTTGTCATCTATAGAATCTCAAAGGCTTTACAAAATCTTTGAAAACCATTTCATTTGTTTTCTGCTTGGGGAAAAAAATGAGATTCACTATAAAGTGTTAGGATATGAGCCTAGTGTTAGGATATTTTTCTTCTAAATCACTAAGCTCTAAATAGCAATTTTGGGTTCCATGAATTCTCAAGAAAATATTCACTCTGCTTTATTTGAGTTGAATTGTGGCTCAAGCCAAGTAAATGTGTGTTCTCCTCACTCGCCAGCAGGCCCCGCCTGGCAAAAGCCCAGCCTTGCTTCTGTTTTCTTCTCTCCAGATCTTCTCTGTGTTTAATGGTTTCTTAAAAGTGAAGCAAAGACTGTCTTGTAAAGTAAATGGGAGAATGTGTGTTTCTAAGTTTTCAAATGAGGTGTGGCAGTCAGTCATGTGGTCCCTGGCCCCTGGTGAGGAACACGATTTTATCTAAACATGGTGAGAGGACCTCACTAGAGTTCTCCTTCCTGTTGGGGGAGAAGCTGACTGCAGTTGTGATTCTGAAATATATACCCAGTGTTAAACTCATCAATGTTTTACCTCTCAGGTGAAAGAAATCCCTGGAATAAAAATATTCCAAATAAATGCCCCAATTTACTATGCAAACAGTGACTTGTACAGCAACGCATTAAAAAGAAAGGTGAGCTACTTTTCTTTACTCATTAAGAGTGATAAATAAAATAAAAACAAACTTCCTTTTTAATTAGAAATTAAAATTTGATTCTGAGAGGGCATAGTGGGTTGAAAGAGACTGAAGGATCACCCCTCCGCCTTGGTATACCTAAGCACACAGAAAGTTTACTGTTTACACTTTTGTTTTCTTTCTTTCTTTCTTTCTTTCTTTCTTTCTTTCTTTTGTTTTTTAATTTTTGTTTTTCAAGAGAAACCCTGGCTGTCCTGGAACTCACTCTGTAGACCTCTTGAACTCATAGAGATCTTCCTGCCTCTGCCTCCCTAGTGCTGGGATTAAAAGTGTGTGCCATCACTGCCCTGTTATTTTAAACATTTTTAAGTGTACCATCCAGTGTCTGGCATTAAGTACATTCCCATGGTTAAACAATCATTGCCACTGTTCATTCCTTTGTCATATGCATACATTATTGTTTTTATTTTTATTATTTTTTTTTTTTTTGGTTTTTTACGAGACAGGGTTTCTCTGTATTGTTTTGGAGGCTATCGGTCCAGCCCGGCCTCGAACTCACAGAGATCCGCCTGCCTCTGCCTCCCGAGTGCTGGGATTAAAGGCGTGCGCCACCACTGCCCGGCACATTACTTTTTTTTTTAATGAAAGGAAAAGGCAATCTTACTCTAAGGCCCCTGTGGGTCATGATTAAAATTCAACCTCCACTACCTAAAAAAGACATGTTTAAGACTCTAAGAATTTTATATTTAATAAATACCACTGTACAATTTTTTCATTTCTTTAGTGTCTGCTAGTTTGGTTTTTCAAAACAGGCTTTCTCTGTAGCTTTGGAGGCTGTCCTGGAGCTTACTGTGTAGACCAGGCTGGTCTTGAACTCACAGAGAGATTCACCTGCCTCTGCCTCCCACGTGCTGGGAATAAAGGCTTGCGTTACCACCCAGCTGTATCTGCTAGTCTTAAATAAAGAGTCAGACCAAGACAAACAGCTCGTGGTTGTACCTCCGTTCTGGGCACCTGAGGGAAAGGAGGGGCCACGTTTGGGGTGATAACCTGGCACGGAGAGCAGCTGGCCGGGGAGAGCTGGAGGTGTGTGTATTTGGGTGGGTCCTTGGGCGCTATGGAATGATGCCTCTGCGTTGTCTTTGTGAAGACTGGAGTGAACCCAGCACTCATAATGGGGGCAAGAAGAAAGGCCTTGAGGAAGTATGCGAAGGAAGTGGGAAACGCCGGTGTGACCAATGCGGCCGTCGTCAAAGCGGTAAGTGAGCGTGCCATCTCTCTTTCTCTTGATCTGCATGTCCTCCATCTCCCGAGCTCATGGGCAAGGCTCCGGTTTCCCCTGTGTGTCTGAGTATGTGACAAAGCTGGGTGTGCTGGGTCTCAAAGACAAGGCAAACAAGAGTGTGACAGTCAGTTATGAAGAAGTCATAAGAGAACCAGTGAAAGCACCGTCTGGAACATTAAAATAACGCAGACCCTAATAGATCCGACCACCGTCCTTTCTTATTCAGCGCAGAGTTAAAAACTCAAAGGCTAGTTTTTGCTGTTTAGACTTCTGGTGGTAACTTGTGACCCATCATGCTGAAGTTAATAGGCTATTTTCTAAATTAGGAGAACGTGGGGGAACAATGGCTAGGAAGTGTAAAGAATGCTGGACTAAAATAAAAGGGGGGCTACATGGCTGAAGAAACTAAGCTCCATTTAAATAAATTACATTATAAATCTTTTCTTTAAAAGAGTGAGTTGTTTAAAAAAATCATGGCTTATGGTGATGGAGACGGGGCTTAACAGTGAAAAGCATCAGCTGCTCTTCTAGGTGACCCGGGTTCAACCTCAGCACCCCACGGAGTGGCTCGTAACTTTAACTCCAGTCCCGAGGAATCTGATGTCTTCTTGTGGCCCCCGTGGGCACCACATGCACGTGATGCACAGACAGCTATGCAGACACATCACTCGTGCGTGCAGACACATCACTCGTGCGTGCAGACACATCACTCGTGCGTGCAGACACATCACTCGTGCGTGCAGACACATCACTCGTGCGTGCAGACACATCACTCGTGCGTGCAGACGACACATCACTCGTGCGTGCAGACGACACATCACTCGTGCGTGCAGACGACACATCACTCGTGCGTGCAGACGACACATCACTCGTGCGTGCAGACGACACATCACTCGTGCGTGCAGACGACACATCACTCGTGCGTGCAGACGACACATCACTCGTGCGTGCAGACGACACATCACTCGTGCGTGCAGACGACACATCACTCGTGCGTGCAGACACATCACTCGTACACACAAAATACATAAGTAATTTTAAAACCAGAAAAGAGAAAATTCATGGTCTCATTTTTGACATAGGATGCAGAAATGGATGGAGAAGATGTTAAGAAGCCCGAAGAAGACGATGAAGTAAAATATCCCCCAATAGTCATCAAAACAACATTTCCTGAAGAGATGCAGAGATTTATGCCCCAGGGGGAAAATGTTCATACTGTCATTCTTGACTTTACACAAGTCAATTTTATTGACTCTGTTGGAGTGAAGACTCTGGCTGGGGTAAGTACTGCTTGGAGCAAGTCATTCAGTGTCTGCACACCCAGCATTACCACCAGTCACCTCAGGGACAGGGACCAGAGTCCCTTGTCAATTCTTTCTTTGTCACTGTTTTTGAAACTTTGGGTTATGGGCATTTTTTAATAAGAGTCTAGGATAACAATGCTCATGTAACAACCCTCACTCAGCTTCCGCAATTAACAGTTTATGGCCAGTCTGACTTCATGAATTCCCAACACTATTTTCTGTTACTATGAAGCATGTCCTAGATGTCACATTATCTGTACGCATCTTAGTACCTATCATTATCATAATATCTTTATTACACCATAATAAAATTTAATGTTTTGATACTCTTAGTTGTCATTGTCTGTATGAAAATCAAGTACTACAAAATTACTTTTAGGTTATTAGCTTAAAGATGCATAACTGCTAAAGCTAAGTAGCATGAGTAAGTGAATTTGAGCGTCTCATATCTTTAATACGTATTGGTAGAAAATGACTTGCAAGAAAAGTTAAACTTGTTTTAATATTGTTGCAGATTGTGAAGGAATACGGAGATGTTGGTATTTATGTGTACTTAGCCGGATGCAGCCGTGAGTACACTTTAAGATGGGAAAGCCTGTTTATTTTGGATTTACTCATTTTATGTGGATTTGTGTCTTGCCCGGTGCCTGCAGGGGGCAGAGGAGGGGTCAGAATCACTAGAAGTGGAATTATGAATGGTTGTGAACCACTGTGCTGATGCTGGAATCCAAACCTCAGTCCTGCAAAAGTAACCAGTGTGCCTAGCTGCTGAGCCGTCTCCCCAGGCCCTGGATGGGGAAAGTTTTAATAGTCTAGTCTATTTTGTTTTGTTTTTAGAATTAACTGTACTTGTAATTTTCCCTATAATTTAAACTTTTTTATAGAATAAAAAATTACTCTGTAAAATCACTTTTGAAATCAGCTAGTTGCAGGTATTGAGATGGTCTTCTGGCCTAGAGTTGGAGGGCAGGAGTTGGTCAGAGTTTACTATTTTAGTAGCTACTACACACAAGTCATAATTCTATAAATCATCCCACTTGTTAGGATTTATAGCCAATGGAATAGCTTTTCTGCTACTTTTGTTTTATATTATATTTTGGTTAAGATGGTGCTTAAAACCAAAATCCACAAAATGACACATTTTGAAGGCACCTGGGGGAGAATAGGTCCTCACAGATGAGACAGTGGGTTTGGAAAATGGAGCAGGCCCTGTGGAGAGCAAACAGACAAAAGCTTTCAAAGTCACAAATTCAGCCCATCTGAATCTTACAGCATACATACAAAATGAGACATGTTATTTGTCCATTACATCAGTCTATAGAAACAAAAGGCTAGAAAAATCGAAAGTGTCAAAAGGAACTCAATGGGGATGGGCTCGACGGTATCTCTTTAATCCCAGCCCTCCGGAGGCAGAGGTTAGTGTGGATCTCTGTGAGCTTGAGGCCAGCATGGTCTACAGAGTGAGTCTCGGGACAGCCAGAGGTACATAAACAGCCCATTATAAAAAGGAGAGAGGAGGGGCCCAATGAATAAATGAAAGTCCAGCTATATGCTAGACTATCAGGCAATGATAAGTACTAAGCGGGTCTGGAGATGGAGCTCCGGTGGAGTGCTTGCCTGGCATGCATAGGGGACTGGGTTCAGTCACCACAGAAATGAAAACAAGCACAGTCCAGAACTATAGGGAGCCAGTGTGTGTTGGATTTGGGGCAAGGAGAGAGGGAAAATAAGAACTTGTTTTCTTTTTGAAACAGACTGGCTATATAACTCAGGCTATCCTCAAACTTGTAATCCTCTTTGCCTCAGCCTTCCTAGAGACCAGACTACAGGCACGCACCACTGTACCTAGGCAGAACATTTACTTAAGTTTATATTTTTATAGAGAAATCATGGAAGACTACCCTAGAAAGAAAGAAAATCATTTCCTGAGACTGGAATAAGACTTGCATAGCATTTGAATATCTAAAACTAGGTGGTAGGTAGGGTGTGGTGGTACACATCTTTAATCCCAGCACTTGAGCAACAGAAGCAGGCAGATTTCTGTAAATTTGAGGACAGCCTAGTCTACATATGAGTTCTAGGCTAGTTAGGAAAACATAGTAGTAAACATACATGCATACATACCTACATACATACATATATTCATACATACATACATTCATACATACATACATACTAGGTGTAAACCCCAGCACTTGGGCGTGGGAGGCAAGGGAATCAAGAGTTCAAGGCTGGCCTAGGTTATATGAGAACCTATCTCTAAATTAACAAATTAAGTTTTAAAACTATGAACAAATTACTTTTTTTCAATGTTTGAGATCAAAACATGGAATGTGAAATATGTTTCTTTTCTTTGTATAGCACAAGTTGTGAATGACCTCACCCGCAACCGGTTTTTTGAAAATCCCACCTTAAAAGAGCTTCTGTTCCACAGTATCCATGACGCAGTCTTAGGCAGCCAGGTCCGAGAGGCGATGGCCGAGCAAGAAACCTCAGCTCCACCTCCCCAGGACGATATGGAGCCCAATGCTACAGCCACGCCTGAGGCATAAAGGAATTGTAGACATTTTAAGTAGGAGACTATGGGTTTTCTCCCACCCACGCCCCAGGAAATGTTAGTAGTTGAGGCTTGACTTGGAGGGTGAATGGTGCATAGCAAGATGTATCTCATTCTTGAGTTTGTTTTAATTGGATATTTCAAAGATGAACTGGCCTTTCGCATTTATGCAGTGGCACTTCTATTATACCTTAGTGCTATCTTTGCTTTGTTTTTTAATTCTCACTTCTGATTTATTATCTATAACCTTTAGAAACTAATCACATGAAACTACACAATTAGCAAATACCTTGAAATCTGTATATAAAACATAACTTCTAATTTCAAAATCTCATTTATTAGTGTACTACTCAATCTTTGAGAGAGAGAGAGAGAGAGAAATGGCTCCCAAGCTAGTCTTACACCATTCTTTACAAAGGACGACTATTCTTCTAACTGCAGGAACACATCCACCCACACACCAATCTCAAAACATTTAATTGTCTTGGTCATGTACATTTCCAAGATGAGATTTTATATTTCGCTCCTACAGCTTCTGGTTCTGGGAAAAGCCATGCTCTCCTTTACTAAAGGAATTTGGTCCAGGTGATGTTGCAGTGTCCCCTCCAATATCCTTCATCCTCATCTTTGCTTCTGGAGGCATTTCTTCTGGTTCACGATCGTCATCTTCACTGAAAGCTGCTGCTACTGAAAGGGTTTTTGGAGCAAGAGTCGGAACTGTTTCCTTAGGCTTATTTGATGGAGATGGCTGATGTGTCCTTTGCCTTCTGACCACCTAGGGCAACTCCAAACCTGGAGATTTTCGTGAGCTCTGTTGGGAGGTCTGCAGCAGTAGCTTCTCCCGTTACTGCTTTTCAGCACTGCAGTTGGAACGTTCCCCTCCATTGCTGGGAGAAAGTTGTTTGCCCAGGGTTTTTTATTTCTTCAGTGGCTCCAGCTTGTTGTGGCTTGTCAGTCTTCTCTCCTACCTTCTTTCTCTCCACTTTCTTCTCCACTGCTGCCTCGCTGCTTAGTGTTATCTTTGTAAGATGAGCACTTAAACGTTTTTAAGTATTTTACTTAGGACATACTGTCACCAGATGGTTAGTGGTTCCTTAGTTTTGTACTTGTTTGGGAATAGACTGTCTGCAACCAGTTTCCTTACAGAAGAGGAAATCTAAAATAGTCTAGAAGTTCTGGTTTTAAAATAATTTATTATTACAGAATTGATGCAAGTGCATTATGGATAAGTTGAGAATCAGACAAAGAAGGAAACAAAGCATCTCCTCCCCACTCAGATGACCACCACTGGAACTTTAATGAGCATCCCTCCAGGGGCTTTCATAAACATACGAAGTGAATGATTTTGTTAGTCTGTCCATTTCTGTCTAGCTCTTTCATTTCGCTTCCATTTATTAGCTGGTCAATCTCTATAGTTTTCCTTCCTCAACTTGAACGATTTGGTCATCCTTAAACATAGCTGAATGTTCCATGTCCATTTAATTATCAACTTCAAAGTAAACTTGGTAATTTTTATAATTTTAACGTATTTCATGACATTGTATTCTTTGTGAAGCTCCAAGTGTCACAGTTGTGACCAGTAAACTTCAATATGAATTTTGCCTTTGTTGTTGATTGTGAAATAGCATTAAAAACCTTTAAGGTCTTTGAAACCTAAGCTAGGTATAGTTGGTTATCTTCCTCAGAAGCCTGTAAGTTATTATGTTAATGATTTATTACACAGCCTATGAGTACAAGACTTCTCTTACATTCTTTATAGTTAATGTTTGGAGGCTAAGGGGAGGCTTTAAGCCGATTTCATCTTTATTTTTGTTGTTAGAAGCTCAAACTCACTATACAGCCAAGGTTGGCTTTAAACTCATAATCCTCCTTTGGCCCCATGAACACTGGGGTTCTAGGTATATGCCATCATACCTAGCTTTTTCTTAGACTTCTAATATCAGTTTATTCTCAGTAAATCAAAGCATAGGCCAACCTGTGAAGTTCTTTCTGCTTAAGAGTTGTTGGGGTTTTGTTTGTTGTGTGTTTTGTTTCTAGATGGGTCTCTAGAACTCACTGTGTAACTGAGGATGACCTTGAACTCACGATCCTCCTGCTTAAGTAGTGCTAGAATTAGAGGCCTGGGCTGCCATGCCCTGCTAAGAATTGGTTAAGAATTAGTGATTTTAACTTTGTTGTTGTTTGCCATGCCTTCTTATTGTCACTTTATGTTGGTGTTCATGAAGATACTGCTAGGAAAGTGGTCGGGTTAGAAGTGGATTAAGAGGATATTCAGTCTCTCAGTAACTTCACTACCACTCAGTGGAGGCCGCTTCCTTCTAGTCCTTTACCCGGGCCTGCACAAAACAGATTTACAGCCAGGTGTCTCTTTGCAGGCATCACAAACAAGATCCCATACATCTGTATTCTGACAGCCCGCCTTCTGCACGAGCACATAGCTACAGAACTGAAGCTTACAGTAGAAGCCTTTATATAAGGGTCTACATCATTCTGGCCATCTAGGTAGAATGTTTAAATATTACAAGCAGTTAACTGTGCATTCCTTAGCACCATTCTGAAGTCCTAGTGGCCGGTAAGAAAGAAATGTTCACCAAAGAACATTTTATCTACATTTCACCTGCTTCTGTCTTACTCCGGTTCTTCCATTTGTAACTTTATAAAAGTAGAATCCATGTACATAAAGACAGTTTTTCCCAAGGTTGGAAATATAATTTTATTATGTATCTGAAAATGTTAAATGTTTCATCCCACCTATATGTAAATACATCCAGGTATGTTTCTCAGAATTGTTTCACATGTGAGTTTTGACTTTATTCTTCAACTCTTCCCTCTCTTCCAGGAAGTCAATATATATACAAGCCGCCTGTTCTCTGTGGGCCTTAGTAACCACTATGCATCTCTTGCTATGCTTTTCCATCCTTACTCAAGTCATCCCCATCTTAAAGCTGGCAGTGGCTCAAAGTTCAATCCCCAGGACCAGCTTCCCCCAAGGGGTACACACACTGCTCACACGCACGTGCACACACACACAAGACATAAATTTACAAACAGTAAAAATGGCTCAGTGGTTAAAATCACGGGTTTCAACTCCCAGCACACACAAGGCAGCTCACAAATGTCTACAACCCCAGTTCCAGGGGACCTGACATCCTCATACTTGTAAGCAAAAACACTAATGCACATAAAATAATTAAAAATGGACATTTATAGTCAATGACAAATATAGGACTTAAGACTTCAACCAGCCTCGTTTTATGGCAGTACAGGAAGGCTGTTTTCAGGAAGCTCTCAGAGAAATTGCTGCACTCAAATCCTGCATTACTATACATGCATGGATGGAATGCATTAGGCCACTCCAATACATGGTCATAGACACTGAATCCGTATAAACCTGTAGCAGCTGCCAGTGGGATCTCAACTGCCAATGTCTATTATATAGAGTAGAACCCAGAAAACCAGTTGACAGCTATGTATCCTCTTCAAGGCCTGGAGGATGCTCATTTGTAGTTTTCAGTGTCTAAAATGTCTATTCCATGTGGTTTCATCCTGCATGCTTACCTGTTTAGTGGAGAAAGGAGGCACTTGTCTCCAAGTGAGTACTCTGCGTAAGTGAGTCTGACCTCTTGTGTGCATGAAGGGTAGCACCCACAGAGTCTTCCCTGGAATGATCGAGGTGTACTTTCTATGTGATTGTGGTGGGGGCTGGGGTGCCCTTAGGTGGGCATCAGAGAGGGAAGGCTCTTTGGAAGGTGGGGAAGTCCTTAACTATTGCCTTCCTCTTTAAAGACAGCAAATCAACTTGAACTCTAAAATGAAACTTCCTTGAACCTGTATGCTTCCATGAGTGCAAAATGCTGCTGTCGTTTTTTTAGTGTTTCAAGAATCCTTTTATAGGACTCAGCACGTTGAGCTTCTTGACAATGTTTTGAATGCTGACCAGACTGAATCAAGTGTGGACACGCTAACAACACATCTCCAAACACGGACTTGAGTTAGCTTTCCCGTGCGAGTAACTTCAGAGAGGTTTGCTCTATTTCAAACCTCAAGCAAGGCAGGATTATAAAGAACACCTTTTCTAGTCCAAATCAAGGAAAAGGCCACAGTGATTGTATTTTATGAATGAAACGCCCTTTGTACTTGGAAACTTTCATAAGGTGAAAATTTCAGTTAATACAGTCACTTTTCTCTGGTCTCAACATCCTAAAAATGCACATAGCTTTTGCTAGTTTGCAATTTACTTGTGAATATTACTCTTCAATAAAAATACTGTTTATTGTGTTTATGCTTCAGTATTTAGGAGGGTAAGACTTGGGGGCTGGGGAGACAGCTCTTTCCGCAAAGAATTTCCTGTGTAAGCATGAGGATCCCAATCTGATCCACAGACTCCATTTTACAGATCTGGGACCTCCCTGGCAAGAGCTATGTGATACTAACAAGGTCAAACAGGGCCCACTCCGGAGTCGACCTCTGCTCTCCACACACACGTGCACCTGCACACACACAAATGACTTGCTGGGAGTTATACAAGAAGTCATTTTAAAGAGACTTGCTTTGTTTTTTTTGTTTGTTTTTGTTTTTCCAGACAGGGTTTCTCTGTGGCTTTGGAGGTTGTCCTGGAACTAGCTCTTGTAGACCAGGCTGGTCTTGAACTCACAGAGATCCACCTGCCTCTGCCTCCCAAGTGCTGGGGTTAAGGTGTGCACCACTACCGCCAGGCTAAGGATTCTGACATAACTTTGTTTTAAAAGTAACCCAGCGTCAGGCCTGGAGGTGCAGATCTTTAATCTCAGCACTCAGGAGGCATAGAGGCAGGCAGATCTGAGTTCAAGACCAGCCTGATCTACACAATGAGTTCCAAATAGCTAGGGTTCATAGTTACTGTTTCAAAATAAATAAGTAAAAATAACTCTCCACAGATGAGAAGTTTAATCAGTTTTATCAACTCTCAACCACTAAAAAATATCTTTCTATTAATTTACCCCAGTTCTGGATTTCCTAAATCCTTATTTTAACACCTTTACCTGCTATCATTTCACCCTTCATTAAAATCACCTGTTCTTGACTGGTTTGAAACTGGTCATATGGTAGTGGAATGCTTCTTTCACTTTAAAAACATTTGGTCCAAGCTGGGGCATATAGTTCAGTGGTAGTGTTTGCCTACCATTCAAAAACCAGTATTCAGTACCATCAAAGAAAGAAACAAAACAAAACAATTTCGTCAAAACCTTACTACACAAAACCCTTACAAATGGGTGAAACCATCATCTTGTACCTATATAGACTACTTTGATCATGGCTGGAGAGTTCAAAAGCTTAACACGCTTGGACTTTCTGCGTCTAATGAGGATCTACAGCGAAAGAGACAATGGAGTTAACACACCAGCCAGCACAAGCAGAGCCAGAGTTTCTGGTGGGCTGAGAAGCACTTATGCATTAGTCCTTCAGATGACATGGACCAAAGCCTGTCTGTCAACAGTGCCCTGGCACCGCGTTCTGACTGACACTGCTCCACAGGAAACAGGAGTCCGGAAGCACTTAGGAATTGTTAAATCTTTTATTTTTGTGAGGTGGGAACAAGTTACCCAGGTGCAAGAAGTTCTCGAAGCTTCTGGGGCTCAATTGTATGTCATATAGCGAGGAGTAGCGCTGAATTTGGCGTAAGACTTGATGACCTTATTTACGGCTTCCAGGAAGTCCTTCTCTGTAGCAATCTTCCGCCGTGCTCGTATTGCAAACATCCCGGCTTCTGTACATACACTTCTAATTTCCGCCCCTGCCCAACAAAGAAAACACAATGGTTTAATTACAGTACCCAGAACACTGACTGGCAAACAATAAGACCAGCACTTACCAGTGCTGTTTGGACACAGTCGGGCCAGCAGTTCAAACCTAATGTCTCTTTCAACACTCATTGAGCGAGCGTGAATCTTAAAGATGTGAGTCCGACCCTAAAAAAGAAGGAATTCACATACATTAAGGTGAAAATACATCACAGAAAGAGAAAACTGCAAGAATCGTTTTTCTAAAATGAACTTCTTTTTTACCTCTAAGTCAGGTAAGCTAAACTCAATCTTTCTGTCCAGTCTCCCTGGCCTCATGAGCGCTGGGTCCAGAGTATCGGGCCGGTTAGTGGCCATCAGGACTTTGATGTTGCCGCGAGGATCAAAGCCGTCCAGCTGGTTGATCAGCTCCAACATGGTCCTCTGCACTTCATTGTCACCCCCGGCACCGTCATCGAACCGAGCCCCTGAGAAGACAGCCCAGGTGAGCAGCTCTACTCAGGACCTCAAGGTGCTCACAGCCTCCGCCGCAGCCAAGTACACACCTACTCTCAAGTTATGAAACCAAGAGGCGAATATAACAAAATAAAACAAAACACAAGCCACACATGTTGGCCAAGTACTCCTGGACTAGGGCCTGTCTTGGAATGCAGCTGATATACCTGGAGACACTCCATTAGGGAATACTGATTTTTTCTTTTCCAGCAAGTATCCATTACAAATAGTTTCTTGGTTAGGGATGAGATTTTGTGCCCATTTCTCCTTCCTAGTGATGGAATTTTGCCTGAACAAATCTTTACTTTAGAAAGAATTTACCATACTTAACAGTTTTCTTTAAAGCATCTTTGAAGTTACTCCTTAGGGACATCTTGCCTGCAAATTAATTAAGAGCTCTTCTGCAGGGAGTGAGGGACACTAGCCCATCCGAACACGTGGCTCTGGCAGGCCTTGCCCTTCTCTCTATTCCCTGTCCCTGCTAAGAACCCTTAAATGACATTCCTAAAGCTAGACATCAAGGTCTGTCCTTTATTTGGCCATTTCCTTCTGCTGAGACTAACTACCAAGGTCCAGCAACCAGAAGCCTCCTTTGGCTCACAAAATTAACACGCCCAATTAAGTGTAAATACCTCATCCTAGCAAGGGGTCCCCTTTACCTGTATAAAGGGCCATCTGCCTATGTGCCTCAATCTCTCCTCTCTACCCAGAGACAGTCTCATGTCCCTTCTCTGTCTCCTTTACCACCACACCCTAGCCCATTCTAACACAGACCTCCCCTTTCCCTACCCTTAAAAGCGCTCCTGCAAGGTCATTTGCTGTTGCTTTCTGTCTGAGTCAGAAAGCGCCACTTTAACTTTTCTTCCTGGTTAATAAAGGATCTCTATGTGAAAACAGATGATTGGGTGTGGTTTGCGCCTAATCCTGGCTCTGGAAGGAAGCCCCAGCTTTGTGTGGGTCCCCTTCAGGGAGCGCTTCAAGATGGTAGCTATTACCTCAGCTAGAGTCTCCAGGCAATAATAATCTGGGGAAGGCTGGAAAACAGCTATCCAAAGTGTATTAGGAGAACAGAGATGGCTCAGTAGTTAAAAGTGCTTGCTGGTCTTACAGAGAGGACCCCAATTCTATTCCCCAAATCTTACAGACTGCCCACAACTCTAGTTCCAAAGCATCTAACAAACTCTCCTGACCTCTGCCGGCACGCTCACACACATGCACACACGCATGACATCCCTATATTCAAGACATGCACTTACACACAACATTAGGTAAAGGGGATGGGCTGGAGAGGTGACTCAGGGACACTCTGCTCTTGGAGAAGGACTCGAGGCGGTTTCGTAGCACTCTGTCACTTCAGCTCCAGGGCAGCCTGACACCCTCTTCCGGCCATGCAGACCCTGCACTCACATGCACACACCCACACTATCACACTCAACACTAGAAAAAAGGCCACGCCAGGCAGCAACAGCCTTAGCAGCTTCCTCAGCACTGGCTGGTTAGCACAAGGC